CAGCTCTCTTCCTCATCTTTTCAGTGGCTTCCTTGCAGCCTTAGCACTGGCTTCTATTCTCCAAATGTCTGCCCCATTTCCCCTTTTTTTTCTCCTGGTTTTCTGTCCCTAATCTCTTTAAAAGACTTCTTATTTGAGTATACTGCACACCAACCTATTTGCTGACCTATAGCTTTTCTTGATTAGCCGGACTGGCAGACGTGCAGCATCAGGGACTTCTAGCTTTCAAGGACATGAGCGGGGGTATTGGATGGAGGGGGGGTGCGGGATGACTGACAAATTCTAGAGCAGTGTTGTCCAAACATGGCTGGCTGGGGAATTCTGGGAGTTGAAGTCCACTCATCTTAAAGTGGCCAAGTTTGGACAACACTGCACTAGAATTTGTCAGTCATCCCGCACCCCCCCTCCATCCAATACCCCCGCTCATGTCCTTGAAAGCTAGAAGTCCCTGATGCTGCACGTCTGCCAGTCCGGCTAATCAAGAAAAGCTATAGGTCAGCAAATAGGTTGGTGTGCAGTATACTCAAATAAGAAGTCTTTTACAGAGATTAGGGACAGAAAACCAGGAAGAAAAAAAGGGGAAATGGGGCAGACATTTGGAGAATAGAAGCCAGTGCTAAGGCTGCAAGGAAGCCACTGAAAAGATGAGGAAGAGAGCTGCAGAGGGTGGCGAAAGCAATAGATAGAAATAAATGAGTTGAGAGGAAAACTATGGCTGATTCCATTGGCCTCATCAGGCATCACCCTAGCAAGCGAAGGCTTGCATAATACCCACAGGCTGGGAACACATATTGCATTACATGATACACCATGATTTACAAGCCATAATAATTAGGCTCACACACTGCATTGCCAATATGTAGTGTCTTTGGCTTGGGCTTTGGTTATACATTGTGTAATTAACTTGAACAATTTTGTATTTAACTCGAATTTTGCTACAGTAGGCTCCATTCTTAACTATGGGTCATCTGTAACCTGGGCGTTCTACAATTTTGTATTTAACTCGAATTTTGCTACAGTAGGCTCCATTCTTAACTATGGGTCATCTGTAACCTGGGCGTTCTCAACCCAGGGACTACCTGTACATGAGATGTAAATTCAGGTACAAAGTCCAATGTTATCCAACCTGAATGGAAAAAAAATGACAAATCATGGAGGAAAACAAAAATTATGGGATCAGTAGCTTCAGGTAAGAAATGCTCCATAGATTCATAACTGGGGAGAGCACATCACTTAACCTTCACTTTACTTGATTCACTGCAGACAGTCAGAAAGATGCTCTTTAAGCTTAGCCAAATGAGGCTACGTATATATTGCAAATGAATGTGGCTCCTTGAAGAAAGCATGTTCCTTAATACCTGGAAAAGAAATCCCCAGACTTTCCTTTAGGACCCTTTGGATTTTGCTGTTATCACCGAAGATAAATTCCTTGTGTATGTTTTATACTTGGCCGTTAAAGTATTGGTATTGGTATTGGTATTGGGTAGCTGAAAAAACAATCCCCTTCTATGAATAAGTCAGACTATAAAGAGAGCTTGTCCTGGGTTGAAAGATCAGAACTTAAGTTACTGTACTTTGATATTGTCCTATTTCTTTTTTAATATGTAAAAACATTGTCACCCAGGAAACTTATGAGGAAAGATGATTATACTATTGAGATAGAAGCATTCTGCATACACTAACTTTGAAAATGTTAATATAGTATTAGCATTTTTCCATGCTGTTTTTGCATTTTCACTGTCAGTTATCTTGAGAATGAGTATAATTTTAAAAAATCAGGCGTAAGTACAGTGGTACCTCGAGTTACGAACGCCCCTCCTTACGAATTTTGCGAGATACGACCAGCTCTGGCCCCAAAAATTTACCTCGACTTGCGAACTCCGGCTCGA